TCACCTATGCCCTGTTTACATGATTCCTCACAGTGTGTTCGTCCTTACTCCAAGGTTATAGGGACTTAGGTGAATAGACAATATTGATTAATGGTGTCTCAGGGCTTGAAGACTTCAGCTATAATTACACAGTCTTTGAAGGGTGTTATCTTTTCTGAAGAGCAGGTGCATAAAGCGACTCAGTTTTAATTTATTTTATTTTCAGTTCTTCTTGACCATGCCAAGTTAATGCAGAGAGCAAGTTTATTATTCATTATCTCGCACAGCTTGGTAAGTGCACTCGGAGGAAGCCTCAGCCCAGGTCTCAGCCACCCCCTCCCGGGCAGGCGAAGCCGGAGGCCACGGAGCCCACACTGAGCAGGGCGGCCCTGCGGCCACCCCTACCACTGAAGCCGGGATATTTTTTAAAAAAAGGGAAGGAGAAATTAAAGTTACAACAGGATACCCACCCTGAAAGGATACAGCCACACTAGAACAGTGTTTGCAGTTGTTGTATAACAAGCTATATCATTGCCATTCAAGCCAAACTTTCAAATATGAATGTCTAGGGAAAGGTTTCCAAATCTATATTTAGTCTTTTTCAAAGACACTGAACGTACACAGATCCCACTGAAGCTAATGGAGAGTGTAGATGCTAGACGCCCCCAAAACAAGGCCATTTTTATTTGGCTGCCTAAACAGCAAGACAGGATACCCTTTTCAGTCCCCCATATTGTGAAAATCTGAGTCACCATTTCATCCCATTTCCCCCTCCTCTTTCCACACATTTCTCTTCTCACTGTCATCACCCGAATAGTTCTCTCAACTCTTGTCTCAACAGCTCCTGAGCTCTATTTTGGCAGCTTCTGTTCTGTTATTCCTATTTTCTGCTCTTCCAGCCTCACAGGATTATTTCCATTTGACCGGAGGTATCTGTGCACTTTGCTGTCTCCCTTGCTCTTTTCCTGGTAGATTCAGCCTCTCCTTCGGTGCTGCGTGCTGTTCTACTCTATTTAATCTAGTCCCTCGCTCACTGTTCAGCAGCTCGTTTCTCATTCCTGGCCTCATTTCATTCCTAGATATTCAGGAAAACCAGCAGCAGTGAAGCCGGAAGATGGTGCTGCTGGAGGAACCCCTCAGCTTAGAGGGGACTGGGATCTCTCAGGCAGCTAAGGCCCCACAGAGCTTTTTAAAGTTGAGCTGGGCTTTGGATTCCTGGAAGAACAAGGAAGATAAAGGAGGATCCAGGGAAATAGGCTGTGAGAGAAACTCTTTTACAAAATGGATGGGCCATTAGCTCTCCTCACCTGCTTGTTAGCAAGCTGCTGAGAAGCAAAGGGCATCACCAGAGGCTGAGATGGGGAGACAGAGCCGACCCTGGCCAAGAATGATTAATGAACAGCAGTGCGGCTTGCAAGTGGGGAGAACAGCCCCTTCTACGGCTCTAATAGGCTAATATTATCCAAGATGCTTTTAAAAACCTGTCATGGGCTGCCTTTGAAGAATCAAACACAGCACTGACTGTTATTCACCCATATGCGTGAGATTCCACAAATCCTCCACGCAGCAAAGACCTCATCCATCTTGAAATCAAATATTTAAACAATATCTGGGAATTTTCTTATTTGAAAACAGTATTAGATAAATTGTCAGGGCTCTGTTTCCAGCACAGCAGCATAGAAAGACTGTACTTACAGCACAAGACAATTTTTTTCACTCTTAAAATTCATCCTTCCAAAATTCCAATTCCAAAAGGACAGACATACAATACGTCTATTTTCCCTTTAGGCACATATATACTTATCAAACGTGGTAGCTCAGAGTCTCAATAAAGTGATTTTGTACACATACATACATGCCTATCCACCGACTTCCCTTAGAGGAAACCTATTTCAGTTCACTGTTGCACAAAGGCAGGCTGCTTTTAATTAAGGTTGAACACACTTTATCAAATGATTAATTGAAAGCACGGGAAACCACCTTTCAAACCCCAAATCATCACACTGCTTAAATCAACAAAATGATCAAGCCTTTGCTTATCACAGAACTGTATTTAAAAAACACAACTCCAGAGGTCAAGATAATAGTGTAATGCATGGAGAGAATTATGAGAGTCTCCCGGAAGACACTGCTGCCTGAGGTGAGTTAGCAGACGCATCCTCAGATTAAACTTTCATCAGCAGATCTCTGTATTTCATCAATCTTTCATTACTGCATAGCTTAGAAAATCATCTGGTCAGGTGTCATTAGAAAACCTTCTTATCTTCCAAAGCAAAATCTACCCAAATACATTACTACAAGCAAAATGCAGTTAAAAAGGAGAGCTGGAAGATTATTATGCAGAAATATAAAGTCAATATAGAGAAAATATAAATTTCCACAATACAGTTTACCCACTTCCTTTAAGAATAAATAGAGTAAGTTTTACTATACAGATTCTTGGAACGTAAGATACAACATATTGACCAGATTAATGTGCAACAACTTCCAGGAGAGCTTCACCTTTAAAGCTGGGATTTTGTAGACTTCCTGGAGAATCTATCCACAAAAGAACCGACGCATTCCACGCACTTTTTCTGATGGCAAAATCAAACCAGGGAAAGGGCTACTGCAATCAGCGGGTGGCTGTAGTGTTTCCTACTTGATGACTAAGTAGCTAATTTTACCCAAGCGCTTGCTAATGTATGTAACAACAAGCAAATGCGGCGCAATTGCCAGCTCAACTGCATGGTTTCCCTCACCTCAAATCACAAAAAAAATGCTCCAGGCCACTGAGCGTCTGCTGAGAGGATGAACTGTGTTTTGGCCTCCCAGAAGGGTTCTGGTTCTCTTTTCACCAAACGCCTTTTTTGTTGTGTGTTGGCGCTTGTTCAGCGGATGTTGCATCCTTCATGCTACCCTCAAAACCATATTTAAAACACTGAAACTCCCCAAATTCACTATGAATTTCACTACGCAGTCATAAATTTGTTGTTTCTGCTTGGATTTTGGATCTTCTACCTGCAATCTTATTTGTTTAAATGGGTGGATAAAGGGTTTTTCACTCCAATGCTGAAAGCCATGCTGGATACAACATTTCTGCAGAAGCATCTGTGAGAATTCTTATAAAGAGCTAAGAACAGGAAGGCTCTGAAATCAAACTACTTGGGAGGGAAAAACTGGATCCCATTAAACACATCAAGAATGCTACTGTGTCAGCAAATGGGATATTATGGCTGTTTTTTATTGTGTGGTTATATATTAAAGCATCAGTAAACTATTTCTTACTGTTATCTACATCAACCAATCAAGACAAGTAATTTCTTTTGGAAACAAGAAGTGCTGTATTTCAACACAGAAGGGCCAGATTCCTCTACTGATGTTAGAAACACAGCAGATTAGTTTATTTGCTCTAACACTGGTTCTCTGTATTGCCCATGTCATACATAAAACCACTGTTCGGGAGAAAGTAAGGTAACTTTCTTCCTCTTACAACCAAGACGGAGAAACATTTTCTATTTTATTTTATACTTGAACATGAACTTCAGTCATATACTCCAGAGCTGAGAAGTTTTCATAACAGAGACATTAGTTCCTGCAGAAATCTCAAAGAACAGGCATTTATCATTGGGCCCCAAACAGAGCACAAAACCAGGCCGAACTGGGCTCAGAGATGCTCCTTCCTGTTGCTGGTGAGAGCTTGGCCATGGCTGGATGGCCTCGCTGCGTGGCCTAGGGCAGCGCAGGCAGAACGACCTCCACGAGCACGAGGTCTCCCACCGGCTCCTACCGAGGGGCCTCGTGCTCATCTAGATGAATTTGCTTTTGCAGAACCTGTAAATGCTTCAGAAAAGTAACGAAAAAGTAAAGCTGCCTTCCTGAAGTCTGTAATTCCTGAATTCTGTTCAGTTGCATTATGCTGAGATGTCCCAAAAGATGCTCGACTTCCTGACCAAGGAAAGCTATTACAAACCCGACTTGAAGGGAATGTGCAGCACAGTCATTTTCTCAAGCAAACAAAGCACTGCCATGTTTTATTCATAAGAAGCTAAAACCTCTTTGACTCCCATCATTTCTACCTGCCCTTTTAAATCTCTCAAAAGTACAGACTAATGGAGAAAAAAAAAAAAAAAAAAAAAAGGCCATTCACACAAACAAAAAGTTTGGAAAGATGAAATTGGTAACGGAAACACCACTTTTTTTTTTTTGAAATGTATCCAGAGATAACCATTTTTTTTTTTTTGTGGGAATACAGAACTTGCACCAATCTTTTACTCGAAAAAGTTTCAAGGCCAAAAATTAAACTTTTAATCAGAAGTCAGAGAAAAGAGAACTTATTATAATGCATCAGGATGGGTATTGCCTAAAGATCTTGGAATTGCTCAGTGAGAAAGGGAATCCTTTCAACATGTCAAAAAGTTTAATGGGACAAGAAAGCAGTTTGTTATCCATCTCTGAATAAAGCAATTAAGCTTCCTTTCAATCAGACTTCAGTGAGGATGCAGAGAAACCTCTGGAACGCTCCAAGGAACTTTCTTGTGTCAAGATCTTTATGAAATACTAATGCGGGAAAATATGCAACTTTTCTCTCCACCAAATGAAATATCTCGACTGTGGAAACAAATGCATCCATTCAGGGAAAAGTAACTACCACATTTAAATTTGACCAGCAGAAGGACATGCCTTCACATGGCCAGGAGATGAAATACACTACGGGTCATATTTGAAAATATGTTTTTTATATAAAATTTCTTTATATATTTGAAAAAATATAGTGCTGCATGTGCTGTTTGATGGACCTGTCCGAGTTCATGTGAAAAGTCTGCTCTATGCGGATATAGCAAGACAGGATGAAAGTGAGATTAAAAAAGGCAAGAAGAAGAAGAAAAATAATTTAGGCATCGGAAAGAACAAGCATAGCCATGGGGACACAATTACTCAACCAGAAGAGCAGCAACTGGCCCCGGGCATGGCCATGGCCTGTATCAGCAGACACGAACAGCAGCAGGGCAAAAGGAAGGAGCAGGAGGGTGAGGACTCACCGGCCGTTGTCGCGTCCCACTCCCCAGACCCTGATGCTCACGATGGGCTGCGAGTGCAGGACGGTGCGGTCCATGGGGTCGATGAGGTTGAGCATGTCGTTCTCCAGGATGAGGTACATGTCTTTGCCCTGCAAGGCCAGACAAAGAGCAGGTCAGGCTGACTCCTGGTAGGGTGTTACACCGACGCTGCGAAGCCTGGCGTCCGCTTTGAACGTACCCAGAGCTCCCGCTTGCTCCCAGAGCGTTTGAAAACAAGCTCATTCACTTCTCTTGAGAAAAAGACTCAAAGTAATAGTTTACTATGACTGTACTTTTAAATGTCCCCAATCACAAAAGCCTTTACCATCTTTTAAATGCATTTCTTTGACTCATTTAATAAAAGGATTCAGTTTTTCAACAATTTATTTGTTTATCCCTACTGCAGTAAATTCTTACAAAGATAAGAGAAGTCAAAAACTGTTTTCATATTACAGGTTTCTATCAAATCCAATACTTCGAAGGCAGACTTCTTTCCTTAGCCCAGTATATGCTTTATTTCCACTAGCTTTAGCCAAGCGGGCATGGGAACTGACAGAAATTTGTATGTGTCAAAGGATTTGGAGGGTACTCTTTGAAGAAACTGCATTAAAGGGGAAAACGCAGCGCTAAGACATCAGTGAGAATTTTGACAGTTATTGCAGAACCCTGGATTTCTCCCTAATTCTTCTGGCATGAAAGAACTAGGAGAAAGCTTCCCTCCCCTCCTTAGAGAGGGCAAGTGCAGAGACATTTTCTCCCTGTGAGGCTAATTCCCGGGCGCGGATCCTGCGGCCCTGGCCTTGGCAGGGAGCCTGCGCCCCCGCCGCGCTCCCGGGACGCCCCTCCGTGCGGAGCGGCACCTTCCCAGCCACGCGTGGCATCCCTGGGAATGACTCACTGCCAGCAGGTACGGCAAGAGACCGCTGATGAGAACCGCAACGTGCGAGGTATCTGCTAAATACAGACTGGTTTGTTTCCCTGGGGTTGGGCCAGAATCTATAAGTGAGCAGGAGGAGCAGAAAGGCTCTCACTTCATACTGACAAACGGTTCAGAAATGACCTTCCTCTTCACCTGAGCAGCACAGAAACCCTCTTCCTGCCTGATTAGAGTGGCTCAAGCTTTAACAATGTCTAATTCTGTGCCTCTAAGACATGAATTTATCCCCCCGAGAAGGGCCAGCGTTTAGGGCTAAGCAGCAAGGGTTTACCCAGCTGCTCATGACATACAGAACATGGGAAACGGGAAACAAAGCACAGAGCCAGGATAGGACCCGGCAGGCCGGGATGGAGAAGGAGACCAAACAGAAAACAGAATCACAAGAAAGAAGGAAGGCGAGAAATTTGCTTGGATGTCAGAAGCACTAAATAGTCTGTGTAAAGAATGTCAGCAAGTGTCACAAAGCTTGCTTTTGGAGCCCACTTTCTACTTATACATTTACTCCAGAGGAAATCATTATAAGAAGGTAAATTCCTGTTCATCACGCAAAATACACTGCTAGGGTAATAAATTTGAATCCAAATTAGCTGGGCAAGGTTAGGGAATGAGCAGATAAGGAACATAAGTCACTGGAAATTATCCTTGCAACCGCCAAGGGATAGTTTGGCTGTAGGCAGAAGCAATGTATTTTGCTAAGTTTTGTTGCCTTATTTTAAAGAAGGTATTTTAGAGATGAAAACACTGCATAGGGCAGCCAGGAACGATGTGGCCACAGTGGGAGCTGAAGCACAGGCCTCAGTGCCTCAGCAGGCTGAAGAGCAGCAAGGACCTGATGCTGCAGGACGAGCTGCATAGGGGCAGGTCCGAGTCCCAGTCTCACTTTCATTGCATTAGAGGTAAAATAAATCTCTAGGCAATCTTAAAACCCTGGTCGGGAGTCATCTCTTCTGGTGCATGACAAATGTTTTGCTGGATGTGCTTATCTAATGTGTCAGTGACTTTTCACCAGTTTGGCTTGAAACACAGGAAGGGTTTCAAAAAGCACGATGGCATTGACAGAGAAATACATTTCTTTCTGTTTGGCAGCATTGCTTCTCTTAGATCACACACATTCACTAGCAAGGGTAACAATGCTTATTCCTATGTCGCTTTTGCACTGTAAATCACAGTAAACACAGCAAATCCACATAGTGCAACTCTCCTGGCAATAGGTCAGGAGAGAGGAACAGCATGAGACTTGGCTAAAGTCCAAGTAAGCTGTTCCAAGAGCAAATAAATAACAAAGCCTGTTTTCCTATGGGTTTCTCTCTCATGTGCTCTGTCTTCCACCACCACAGCCCCAGCTGCTCCTTCCTTCTTTCCCTTACTAGTCCCTCCACATTCTTTCCGTTGTTCCACAGGTGCCTCCGAAAGCATTCCAAAGCCTTACTGTAAAACTTCCAGTCAGGAGAAAAAATTCCACTAATTTCAGTGGGTTTGCTTGTGCATTTAAACACAGTTATTATACAAATGCGCTAATCAGAATTAGCCTTTTTTTCCAGCTTATTCAGCATTCCTCCCTTTGATTTCTTGCCTATAGTTCAGAAAATATTTTTTTATTGACAAATAGTAACCTCTAGGGTCCATTGGTAGCTTTGTTATTACACTGTAGATTTTACTGTGCATTACAGAGATGTACAGAGCAAAGATGTAAACACTAAATTGAGGCCTTTGTGGCACTTGCTGTCATAAGTCATTTGGAACCAAAACATCAAACCTGCCCTTGAACATTTTGTATTTTCTGCCAGCTGAGATAGGGAAGTCCCAACATGGGACTTGAAAATACTTTTTTTTTTTCTTCCTGTAAAACACAGCACAGAAGACCTGGGTACTCTAAGGTCTAACTTTGGACTAATACACTTTTAACCCATCATTTTAGACTGATAAAAAACAAGCATGGCTACATTTGCCTGCATAGTCTTTTCCCCCAAGATATTTCATGTCCTCAGAGAAATGAGAGGTTCTTTATGTTCTTACCTCTCCCCAGATGCCAACGGTGTCTCTGATGTCATTTTTACAGTACGACAGTTGCCTGATGCAGTTGTTGACAGCAACGCTGCTTTTTCCGGGAGCCAGATCCTCCTCGGCCATTTCTACCCAGCCCAGAGAGCGCACGGCAAAGCACTGAAAAGAAACCAGAAAACATCTGAATGTGGATACAACACTGCACAGTGACACAGCTGCAACCACCTGTGAAAATCTTTTCACTGAATGGAAATGAGCCAATGGTCAGCTAAGCTTAAAAATCCCAGATTGGAATAGAATCAAGGCTTTGCAGATGAGCATAGGTCAATAAATTAAAACATCATTTGAGAATGGTAAGGTGAAAATATTGGAAATAAAGAAAAATAAATTAGTTGCCAGAAAAGGTGTCTGTGGAGGTAAATAGTACAGTAATGGCACAGGCTTTTAACCAGAAAGTTTACTTTGTTGCAGAAATCAGTTTTACAGTAAGTTTAACTAGGGTAGCCAACAATGACAAATTCAAAGCACTAACCAAAAGAGAACCTGTCAACAAGAGGAAAGCAAGCTTTTGCTAGAAGAAATTACAAATGACCTTTACAATAAAGCAAACTATACTTTCTTTTTTTTTTTAACAGAAGGATGTTTAGCCAACCAGAGCACTGAGCTGGCAGAACAATCCAAGGCGACATTAGCTGGTGCATATGGAGCTTTTCACAAACAAACCAGAATGGGAGGAATTGACTGGAAATATCTACACTGCATTTACTAGGGAAGATGATAAAAAAGTTAGTCTGGAGGAAAAAAAAAACACAAAAATGAAATCTAAAACCTGCTACTCTCACTCTTTTCTTGGGGTGAAATACAGACCTCAAATGAAGTCAATGAAGTTTGTGCAAGTGTAAAAGGTTTGGGTATGGTGCCCCAGGCGTTTTGCTTTCTTTGGTACTATTCCAGCTTTTTTTCTGAAGCGTTAGGCTGTGCTGGCCAAGCCCTCCAGGCTGCCCCAGTGAATCCAACGCTCCGTTGTGCCCCCGGAGCAACCTGGACGCTGTGAGGGAGGAGACCAGCGAAGCCGCGGATGGAGCGGAGGCGCCAGCGCCCGTGCGCCGTGTGGGAACCCCACGCGCAAAAACAGCCCCCCAAGCACTGCGGCATTTTAAATAGGAATAATTCGTATGTGGACTTTGGAAAACAAAGGGAGGGATAAAATTACCAGTGGGCAAAAGACTAGTAGGTTTTGCCCTTCTTCCATGTAAAGCTTCTTCCCTCCTTTGTCTCCTTCTGGCTTGTACAAAGCCCTCAGCCAGCATCCTTCCCACGCAGAAACCCCAGCCACACCGCACGCGGCATCCCGTATCTTTTGCACAAAGCAGGACACGTACTGTGCAAAATGCACAAAATCCCCTGTGATCCAAAAGGAGCATACAGAGCCTCCCACGCCCAGGGCTTTTCTTGCCTCTCAGACAAGGCCACCAACGTGCACAAATGTCCCCTCCCAGCCCCACGCTGCCTTGCAAGCCTGAAGGAGGGACGGGACAGGAGGGGAAGGAGGAAACATCAGAGGAGTCCCCATTTGGAGCATCTGTCACCCCAAGGCTGCACCTGAAGAGACTAAAATACGTGGGTTTTAACATCTATTAAGGTCATCTAATCCCACATGGGAGAATTGTTTTTAGCACATGTGATGCTCATGAATCTTGTTGAGAGCGCTGGGATGCCTACTGGGGTATTAAATATTTATCTGTGCAAGCTTTTTAAATACAGATTTTACTCTGCCAGGAGAAAGATTTTTTTTCATGAGGATTTCAATACTAAAGCGAATAACAGAGCTCTAGCAAAGCAAGAGCTAAGTAGGTATAATAAGCATATTGCTTCCTTCTCTTTCTTTATATCACAACATCATCTGCAATTTGTCAGCTGCTTCCCAAACACAGCAGTAAATCAGGGCCTTGCATTTTTTTTTAGCATTAACTTACAAAATAAATGCTGCTGATACCTCTGCCTTGTCATGTGCCTGTACTTTGTCTTAAAATCAAGACCCTAAAAAGGATGAAGCATTTGAATATAGATGAGTTGGCCAGTTAGCCTGTGTCTGAAACCAACCTAAGGAAACGCAGCAGGCTGAAGACCAGACGTAGCAACTCCACATGGTGTTTGGGTCACCCTGCTGCTTGGATGGGAAGGAGCAAAGATGCTATCAGGAACCCTGTGCATGAGGAACAGCTTAACAAAACCCCGCCCTTTAAGTTGAAACAATCTTGTAAATACATCAACAACCTTGTATTTTCCTCTCCACTAGGACCTTGCGTTTCCTCATCCTGTTAGGCTACACAGGACATTGTGCAAAGAAAACACCCAATAAATTCCAAGACCAGAGAAAGAAGAGCACCTCAGCACCCTCTGCATCACGAACAGATAAGCAATCAGAAATGAAAACACAGGTACCACTGCTCAGTTTTACAGTTCCAGGGAACCGATGTTTGCACAGCTGCAAATCCAATTAATTACAACGAATTAATGATCTGTAGTAAAATGAAGCAGCATCATAAATGCTGTAATGCAGACTCTCTAGTATGCTCTGTCCCAGGGCAGGTCCGACCTAAAGGATTGCCTACAGCGGCCCCGCTGCCGCTCACAGCGCTGCTCTTTGGCCCCGGACGCTTTTCCTCCAAAACCTGTTGCAGAAGGACCCCAGGAATGAGCTTGTGCAGGACTTGGAGGCCTGCACTGCACTGCTAAGTACGCACCTCGAGAAAAGGGGGAGAAAAGAAGAGAGAAAAGAGGCAAGAGACTCGGTTATACCAGAATGATGTCAAGAGTGGGACTGGAAACGGCACCATAAGGGCACAGGCAGTAGAAAACCCATTACAAGCAAAAATTGGATTAGGGCATCTGCTCTAGAACAACAAACTAATGAACTTTTAAAAAACACAGATTGATTATTTCTCAGATCACACAGCTGTTGGGCAGCAACTATGAATATTTACATTACTACAGAATGTTTTCTTTTTTAAATCTACACCCCTAATAGCTTCTCTACTTCTGAACCTACAGAATTTGCATTTGAGCAGTTTCCCTTTGTTTCCCTTTATCTTTTCCTTTTAATGGTTATATCTCCCTGCAGTTTGATGTAAATCATTACAGTATTTAATAAGGCATTTTATCACAGAGGACTGAGCAGACTTGTGCCTGAGACAAAGCATGTAGGTCACACAATTAACTGTTTCTTATGCAGCCAACACAACTCTGAAAATTAGCCTTAGGAGGACAACAATAAAACAAATGATCGTGCTCTTTTAAGCCTTGGAAGATAGAATATCCTAAAATATAGCCAGCATAGGAGAAGAAAGAAATATATTCTAATGTATCTGTCTGATAAATGAAGGAAACTTGCACTGATTTCAAATTAAAATGTTGCAGATGTTCAAAGTTAAACCGAATAACAAAAGAATACAGAGGCTCTATACAACTAATGAACAAGTGAATTCTTTCATTTAATTCACATTAACAGACTCTGGTGCCTCCATTTTCTCAGAGAAATACTATGACAGTTATCCTACTAAAATGCTTCATCACCAAAACCCCAAAAGCACAATTAAAACACACTAACAACATTTTTAGATTTATTTCTAGCTTTCTGTTGCAGTTTGTTATGTGAACTGCTGAAAATGTGCCTATCACACAAAAATGGGCACAGTTGTCACAACAGAACTCAGAAATCGACTAAGAATCACTATTTTAAAGAAGATTGTAAGCAAAGCCTTTGTGGTACAGAATATAAGAGCTTTACAGGTACTATAAAAATAGCCTTTGTGATCAATTCCATTTCTGCAGCAGTTCAATATTGACCTTTCTGTTTTGACAGACCCTTGCTCCTTCTCCGAGGCACTGGAGGCTCGTTTTTCCAGCCTCCACCGTGTAGGATGACAAAAGGGGCTCTCCTGTTTTGAGTTAATTCTTCTCTGCCTCAGTGGTCCCTCCTTGCTCTCAGCCAGAGGGCTCAAATCAGCTCCATCAAGTGAGAAAATGTTATAAGACCACTGTGCTAGCTCAAGACTTTTTGATCCCCGGTTTCTTTTTTGTTACTGTATTTGTGACATACGGGAAAAAAATGTCAGCTGAGCAAAGCAGAGTAGTTACTATCACTGTATTAAGAGCCATTCCCTAAAAACAGTTTTAAAGAAGACATAGAATCATTATGGTTGGAAAAGACCTTCAAGATCATTGAGTCCAACCATAAGACATTTCATTTTTTTATTTCCTCGCTTTCTCATTAAGAAATAGGCTTTCATTTCAGATGCCACGTGCTACCTTAACTTCACATCCTGAACACAGCATTTATGGACCCCACTTTTAGGTAAGATGACCTCTAGAGGTCCACTCCAACCTTAACCATTCTGTGATTCTGTAATAATGCTCTCTTGGAGGTTTCATTTTAATACAGTGAAATTAGAAAATATGCTTCCTTAGTGAAGAAAAGGCAGCCAAAGAGTTCAGCATAATCTAGTGGTTATTAGGATAATGCTCAAATTAGGGCCTATCTTGGAGGGAAAAAGAATTAAAAAAATAAAAAATAAAGGAACTGTTGTCTCTGCTGTGCTTTTACAGTAGGATAACTCAAGGACTCTACAACCCAAGTATGCCTTGTCAGTAAATATAAGCCCTGCAGGAGTTTACAGGGCATGAAAGCATATGTGCATTCATTTCTTAAAAATTAATGCTTTGCATTTGGCATATTTAGCCTAAATGTTACAGAGTTATTTTTCTGCTGAGGGCAGTTGTGCAGGTTGATTGTGCAGCAATATGTAGCTCTAATGCAGCCAGCAGCACTGGTGGTGAACAAAATTTCAAACATAGGATGCACGACATTCAACTTCAAAATAATATCAAAAACCTTCAGGTGAACCTTTGACCTTACTGAATCAATGCAAAAAAAATAATGTCTTGGATACAAGACATTGGATACATGTGGATTTCATGTGTCTTTGGAAAAAACATTGTCAAGAGTAATTTGTTTTTTGTAGAAATTATGTTTACGTTGGGATCCAAAGTCAATGAAGTTAAATCACTTTTGATCGATTTCCGTTCTTGGAAAGAGACTGAAAGGAGCAGGGAACAAAGTGCAGAAATCTTGAGCTGTGAGCCTGGGTGCCACGTGCTGCCGCGCTGTCCCCCCGCCGCACCAGGGAGCTGCAGCTCCAAGCCCACGGGATAACGTGCACCCAGGCAGGGCTAACACGGCCTGTGCTGTTACACTTCCTAAGAGCTGAGCACTACCCCCTATTCCCTTTGTCTCTGCTGAAACATGGGAAGTTTTGATGAGGAAGACCTCTGTTCCTTCAGAATGAAACTCAGGGCTAGAACGAACCGTAAAACAGGCGCACATGATGGTTAGGGCCATCTAAATATTGCACCGTCATTCAATACAATGTTCAGTTTTAATTGATTTTTAAATGAACTTCCTTCATAAACTGCAGTGGTCAGCAAGTCTGCAATGTACAAATAGCTCATCAAGGACGTGTTGTGCCATTTTCAGCATGTGCATATATATATATATATATGAATATAAACACATAAAAGATGTGTTCCCACTATGGCCGGTACAATTCTATGGAAAAGAAGGGCCAGCTTCGTGACCCTACAGCTGCGAACGGGCTGTTACCCTGAGCCACCCTAAACCTGCAAGCAAGTATAAATAATGGAAGAGACACCCACAAATATCCTCCCTCAGCTCATTTTCCAGGGGTTGGAGGTCATTAACATGCACCTGCCCATCACCAGAACTAGCATCACCCATGTGTCCACGGCATTCACAAGTCTACCCCTGCTCCAAGGCAAAAGTGTGACCCACACGATTCCTATTTGCATCATTTTGTTCTGCTGCAATAATTGGTATTGATGTTCTTGTTATCCCAGTAGCAATCCCTGGCCTAAAGATCTGAAATTCTGCCACAAACTCACCATTGGTACTGACAATTTAGAAGCTAAGAAGATAGTTTGGTCTGATCTGATCTGAGGGGAAAAAAAAAAAAAAGGTGTTCTTGTATTTCATCTTCTCTTTTCCAAATCCTGTAGAAGTCCAGCAGCTGTACACTGTACAGATACTTTGTATCTCAATGAATAAAACACTGATAATTCACAAAAAATCAAGATGTAATTATTTTATTGCAGTCCTGGAAACTTATGGGTAAGTTTTAAAGCTGTTTCTATTTTCCTGCAAAGGAAGAATGGCTTTGCAATACACCTTGCCAAGGCAGGCTACCAGAAAAATCTCTTTTCTCTAAATCTGTTGTATTGTTCAGTCACTCATGTTCAGACACTGAATGGCAGGCACTCATCTAAGATCCCAAAATATATATGGGATTTCTAGGATTGAAAGACAAAATATTTCTCAGGATATAATGCTGGAACTCAGATAACCTTTAAGGCCCCAAGAAATGGTCGAAGAAATACTATACATCCATTATAAACCTATACAAAAAATATTGTTTTATGTATCACTAAAATAGCCACTTTCTTAGATTTATCTTCATATAGAGACAAGGTAGAAGCTGATTTCCTGTAGATGGAAATCCATATTATGATGTCCATCACATAACAGCATTATCACCTCTTGCAGCATTTTCTGGCCATCAGTTAGGAAGGTGCAGGTTGCTCTATAAATCAAGCAGGGAGGCTACAAACCACCCCCTGGGCTCCAACCTCATTTCCAGCCGTGCACGTTTCACACACACAGTTAGTACCTCTGACATGTGCAATGAGTATCCCTTGGAGATACTCCTACCAAAATAAATCACTGAAATCAAGAAACTGCATGTAACCATCCCCTGTCCTTAAATGGAAGCTATTTCTACCCACCCCCACCACCACCTTTCTTGTACAGGTGACCAAGGAGTCAAGGATTTGAAACTCAAAATCGTATCTTGAGCTCATGGTATACAGAGAAACACTTAGTGACATTTTTAAATACCTCGTTGCTTTTCTGCATAAATCTCTTATAACAAGAATCCTGTGAATCCCATGTCAAACTTTTCCCTCTAGCACTGACATTTTTCGCAGTGCTACGGTCCTTGCAGACACAGAAAGCCTCCAGAAGGTCATTGCTTTAGCTTTCCACAGGGTGGCAGAGTTTCCTTTCTTGAAAGACACCATTACTCAGTGCCACGCAAGAAAGCAAAATTGTTATTTTTAAAAGGTACTTGCTATTGTAGCAATAGGCTTAAAATTTGAGCTCTCTAACAAGATTTTTTTTTCTCCAATAGAGAGTTTAATGAGTTTTAAAAAGCTCAATTTTTCCAGGCTCAAATGAAAAAATCTGCTTGCTGCCACAGAAAAATCAAGCTTCAAAGTTGAGATAAACCATGTGTTAGAGGAAAGGCCTAAGGGGCTAAAAAAATTCTAGTTTGTCAAAGTCTCATAAATGTCAAAGCCTGTCCAAGTTCTCCCAGGCTCACAATATTCTGGGTAAACAGCTACTGAGGAATTAGCCTAACCCAGGTACACGTTTCCACTCGCTCCAACCCGTGATTTTAAAACATCCCTATAATTTTTCGTCTTACTTCTCATAGTCACTTCTCCCCTGAGCATTTCAGTGTTCAGCTCCACTGAATCACTTGAGCACAATCAAGATGTTTTTGCCCAAACATGAGAAACCAAAGCTGCTGTTTCAGACAAAAGCAGATTTGCCCTTGGCCTGGAAGCATTTCAGTGATACAGGATGGGTATCGGCTCGCTGAATATCACAGTCCAGACAACCAGATAAACAGGGAAGGGACACAAAGACAGGAGTGTTGTCAGTACCCCACGGTCCTCCTTGCAGAGTGGGCTTCTAATTTACACAGCGCAAATTGCCCGACATACCAAATACTGTCTCCTGATAACGCCTGCCTCGCCTTCAGGCTTGTCTGGAAAAGCACAGCCTTCTGGCTAGGACTGGTCCCTAATGCTCAGTCATTCCTCCCACTCCATTTGCTATTCCCGGAATTTACTGCTTGTCATGATAATGAGCACAGCTGAAACTGCTGCTTTCAGTTATTTACATCTGATTTAAACATCACAAGCAAAATAATCAAATTGACAAAGGAAGTTTAAGTTCCCTGATCAGTCTGTTTTTTCAACTAGAATACATCACAAATGCTATTACAACTATTAAGTCTGCTATCTACTGTTTTTCTGCACATAAATAGCTTATGCTCCTGTCAATCTTTGCAGGTGTACAGCAGAGCCAGATCACTTATTTAAATTACTTGGGTTTCCAATTACAGAGATTCACAGACCTCCTTAAAAATGCATGTATGAACATGGCAAAACCATCAAGAAGAAAACTGAATGACTGATCTGGAAATACATGTACAAGCATTCAAAACCTTTTGTTTCTCCTTTCTCCTCAAATGCCTTTCATTACAAGAGCCAAGATCCTGATTTTAAATATGCTCACAAAGGTCTCATTTTTCATCATAAATGTCGCTCTCAAACTAGGCTATATTCTCTGTTTTAAAACACAAAGTTTCTTGTTCTGAAAAACAAGCTCCTTGTTACTAGTTGCAGGTGTAAGCTGTCACATGAACGAGGACGGGTATGCAAGAAAGGGAGGAACTCCAAAATTAAAGAGCAAATTCTATCATGGAATCTCCCCAGAAGCCATCAAGCCATGACAAACAATGAAGTCCTCTATTCAAAGTAGGAAACTTTTTAGCTGTGCACGGAGTCGGTTTTTACAGTCTGACAGCACAACCTACACTGGGAATGTTCAGTTTCTTAGCTTGTGCCATTTTAAAATAAATCACATTTATTTTAAAGCACACCCTGACCAAACTGAGTGAACGTTTAAATCTGCAAATGCCTTTGATGGTGTTAGTCTTGCACAGTTAAAGCCAGTCTACATGGTGTCAAATACTACCATCATCTTGAGGAGTAAATGTAATTTCAAAACCTGAGATATTCTGCACCCTGCAAGTTATGTTTACAATTTCTTAAAATCATCATTATTCCATCGCAGATCTTCTTACCTTGGCTTCTGGATCACTGTTGATGCTACAGGAATCATCATCATCAGACTGTGGAGCATTTCTGTTATGGGCAAAAAGACACCCATCTTAAAATCATATAAAAATTATGGCACGTCACAGCAAAGCACAACATGGAACTGGTCATGCCATGGGGCTTCTGTAGACATTGTACCTGAGCTTCAGAGAGGCATAGCGTAGGGTTGCTCCTTCAAATTCTTTCAGACTTGGGTCTGGGTTCACAGTCGCTGCATGCAGATCCTAGAGATAAAGGTAGTCCTATTAATATAACATTAAGCACACTGCCATGTTACTTCATATTTCAAAGGGAAATAAAATCCTCCCTGCAAAGAAGCGGATAGTATTTCTGGCTGAAGTTGAAAAGAGGCATGCATATATTCTCAAGCTGTATTTCATTCAGTGCAGGCATCTTATTAGTTACATCACGACAGTTGCCCTGCTAGCTTAGGCTGAATCCATTCCAAGTGGAAAGATCAGAAAAAGGCAGCATGTTTGTGAGCTAGACATCCCTAGCAACACCCCCATTTACTTTGGCCTATGTTATGGATGATGTGCATGGAAAAATAAAAGGGGAAGAAAACAGCCACTGCCATGCAAAAAAACAAAGGTAATAGTATTAAAGGGTCTAAAATCTGACAATATACTTGCCTTCCAAATGTCACTATTAATCTTTCCCCCATTCAGTACAGCAAAATCACTCCATGGCTGTTTCTAGACATATAATTATTCACACAGGAAGAAGCACATTGATAAAAAAAGAAAAAAAAAAGAAAAAGAAAAAAAACACAAGACACTGTTGTTAGCATTGATATTTACAGGATGGGTTAGGGAACAGATCACCTCAAACTTAAACTAATTACTCCACTATAGCATGGCACTTGGAGGAGAGGGGAGAGAGAACACATGCCTCTACAGTTACTTACCAAAACAAATGATTGAAACAAGGAAAGTTAATAGAAATTAGGAACAGACAATGGGATTACTCTTTAACTACGATCTCAAAAGCAAGCAAAATGAATCTGAATATGAATGTTGGCCACAGCTGCTACAGCCTCCAATAAACAGAAATCAAGGGGAAAATGGGACTTCCATTTTGGTTCAGAGAGACTAACACTGCTGGAACCAGAAGTACTGAAGTACAGGGGTACATATAAGGCTATATGCAGGGTAAGGATTAAATCATTTCTAGAAAAAAAGCGCTAAAAGAGGGGAGTAGAGAGAAAGAGGATTAGGAAGGAGTGCAGAGAGACTTCCTGATGAAAAAATAGTTTGGTAAGGCATGATAGAAGTCTTAAGAACAAAACTAAGAAGAAAAGAACAAATGCCTGCCAACCAAAACCCGCCTTTCCATCTCTCCACTGAAAAGCTCCTGAGGAAGCAGCCAGCAGGCACGGGGCTCTAGAGCAGCCTGAGGGCCATCGCTTCCCACAAAGCCTGCGGGAGCAGCCACGGCTGGAGCTCTCTCCTTCCCATGCGAGGACAGAAATCCCACCACCAGAGCCAGGTGGGACAGGAGATCTGGTTGCATAGAGACCTCCCAGAGCCACCTCTTTCTAGCTCCTTTAAGCATTAATTACTTCAGTAAGTAACGAGTTCCTTCTAGCTGAGCTCCTCCAGGTGGCCCAGCTCACCGGAAGCCAACTCGCTACCTCATGACATGGCTCAATGCATCCACCTGCACAGCTGCTCCCTCGGTCCAACGCATTCTCAGGACATCCCTGCTGAAGGATTTATTTGGGAAAGCAACTCTACGAGCAGCTCTTCCCACACATAGTTGAACCAATCAATAGTTGTTATTTTTTCTTACTAAGCTCTGCATTTTTCATTATTGGCTTCTAGTAGCTAAGCTACCTATGGAAGAAACACACTAGAGCTGATCCAGGCCTGTGATGAGTTAGATTTTAGAAACAGATAACAAGCATTGCACATTGTGCTGTAATCCCCCAAATCCTCTTGCTCAAAATTGAACTTTTTTTTCTTTTTTTTTCTCCCCCTCAGCACAGGAAATGGAAAAAAGGCAGCAAAGTCTCCTTGAAAGGTTGGAAGAGAACTCCCAAGGACCTACAAAGGAAGTCATCCAGCAACACATGGCAGAAAAGAGTCATTGAAAACTAGGTCAAATTTAATCAGCTGTACAAAACCAAACCAGACTTCCATGCTTTTGAGGGGGAGGAGGAGGAGGAGGAATGCTCCCAGTTCCTTATGGTTAGCATCTATTAGCATTTTTTTAAAACTGTGGAATTTTCACCTAATGCTCAAGCCATAATTACTTTGGATTAAAATTTGCTAATGAGAATGATGATTATTTTATGAACAAAAAAGTGCCTTATAGCATACACCAAAGACAGACATTTTTCATCTTTCCTTTGTAAACTCCTTTTTCCACTTGCATGCAGAAAAGTATCACTTCCCCTCACCCAGATTTTTCTCTGATTCGCTGTTTAAGAGCCCCGTAACAGTCCTCTTCTTTATACTAAATGTTCAAGGTATATTACCAAATAAAAATGTTTTTTGATCTGTTCTTTGTGGGCTGCCCTCAGCTGTGAGCCACATTCTACCAAATGAAGTCAAGCTTCAGTATTTCACATCCTTTAGGAGACAGGGACACAAATTAAAACAAACAAAAAAAAAAACAAGGAAAACAAGACGGGGAGATAAAAAAAAAAAAAGCATTACAGAAGGGAAAGGGGGGTCAGGGAAGAATGAGTGTGTCTAAGTGCTCCTAAGTTCATTTGACAACCCTCAAAAGCTAAAACAGCCCAAATAAGCTCATCTCCAGAGCAGCATATAATGCTTCACAGACAAATGTGATAAAGGTAAAAAAGTCTTTTATGGACTCACAAAAGTGTATTAGGACAGGCATGAAATGCTGCCCATGCCAGGTTTCGATCCTAGATTGTATTCTTTCATCCATCCAAAGCATACACATCCCCTAAGCTTTTGAGCAAGAAATACATGTTCTGACACAGGGGAATGAGGTAAAACAGTCCTTTCCAACCAGACTGTCCTGGAGCACAGGCTCCCAGGCAGTGACGTGCAAACCAGAAGTGCTCAGATCATTCATGGCCCAACCACAAGCTGGAAGCTGTCCACAACTGCTGATGCTGCCAGTGGTAGCACCACTGGATAAAGGCACTTGGGAATCCCTACTCTAGATCAATTCCCCATCTTGTGTCAGACTGACAGTATCCCGGACTCCCAGGTTAAACCGTCACACGGAGGGAGAAGGGGAGCTTTGGGGACAGGCTTCAGGTGCAGTGCACAGGGATTGCACCCTTTCCCTGCAGCGTTTCCAGACCTTGCCTATGTACAGTCAAAGTCCTGAGTCCAACTCAGAGCCTGATTGTGAACCCTATTACTGTAAGTCTTCTGATATTTTATTACAATCTTTACGGTGACTGAGTCATAAATCAGTATTGTTTAAACAATAACACCATGTTAGAACCTTACCAATGAAAGCAGAAACCTCCAAGAGACAAATAATCTAGTATACATCTGCAATAAACATTCACTGTATAATATTAGCATATTAATATAAATATTGGAAGATCATTAACCACCTCTGACATCTTTACATGACTGCATATGGTCTTGATACTGCAGGCACATCTGCATATGCATAAAGCTCTGCTGAAGCAGATTCTCTACTGAATTATAACTTCTGTTGCATCAAAATGACCTTCTCCACGCTCACCAGTCTTCAGGGCACAGTGCAGCCCACAGGAACTTGACTGACAGAAACCATAAAGTGTTGCGCTGAAGTTTGCAACTTTATGAGTAACGTTTATGAGCATGTCTCAACAATCCTTCTATAGTTATGGGTAAGAAAGTATGTGTTTAAGCCTACACAGGGTAAAAGTTTCAGAATCAAGACTGTAAAGGTACTTGAATGTCCTTAACACCACTTAACTTTTGTTTATATTATTTAGGTACACTTACCAACAAAATCAAGAACAGGATATATGTCATACCTAAATACATCAAAATAATCAAGGATCAGCTGATCCCAAGCCAAAAAACAAAGCTTGTACAAAGGATTCCACTAAGAACATGAAACTTTGGAGCTTTTTCTGAGCAGTTAATATGAAAAAGGATTATGTTTCAAAACAATTTGATTTTGCATTAGGGTTTTATTTTGTAGAAGGCTTTCCAGCATATTAAAAGAAACTGATTGCACAGTTCGCAGAGCACTCTTCTTTCTGAGTATTTATTTTATGTTTCTATGTATATGACATCAACCAACCCTCTGAATTGTCCCTGAATGGGTTATTTTCAAAGGCTGCACTACATATTGCTATTTCTGCCCATGTGAAAGACAGAGAGCATTCTTTCTTTCTTTCTTTCTGTTTCAAGGTAAAGACTGACTGCAACGCAGTGATACACTTGAGCAGATATTTTATACTGGCAGGACATTAGCAGGCTTACACTTGAGAATACTTGATGTTTATTTAATAGAATGTATCCTGTAAAGGAATTGCCATCTCAAGTGAAGACTCAGATGAGATGCCTTTATGTGATACTTCTACCGAATGAATCAAGAAGAATGTGGAATTACTAAGGCTCCACACAGAAGACTGTTAATGTGTAAATATTTCGTGTACCCTTTACCTGCATAATGCAGTAATGCTTTAACACATGCTAGAGAGCCTCAATAATCCCAGACTAAATGTCTAATTTACATAAGATATGATGTCTGATTTCACACCATATATCCACAGTTTAGGACACCTCATGATTCACCACCACTGGAAGACGCCCCTGGGAAATAGATACTTACGATTTATTATCGACAGAGAGCTATGCTTTGGGATAATACCATGCCTCACATTCTAAAGCTCATTTTGCTAACAGTTAAGCCTGAAACTTTAAAAAGTTATTTCAGTTTTCTTCACAGTATGCAGTACTTAAGAATCCACAATATTTTACCTCAGTTTCTGGAGTGGGAGATGGAGTAATGGAGCCAAGTGATCCCTTCCGTGAGCCTTGGAGATCCGATGGAATGGACACAGGACGCTGCCATTGAGTTGTTCCTGTTGGTATGTGCCAGTAGTAGATCCCAGCGATGTCATTGATTTTTTTCCAGCCAGGTGGTAAGTCAGGGTCTGTCTGAAACGAATGATCACTCCATATATCTGCTGGGATCAGAAAAAAGAAAAAGAAAAAAGAAGATGTATTAACAAGACCTTGTTAATAAGATACAGATAAATTTTCCATGGGTCTGACTCTGATGCAAATGATACAAGATGAGTATAGCTGCTGATCTGCTTCTGCGTAAATCACAGAATCACAGAATCATAG